TTGTTTGCAAACAGAAGCAAATAACACATAAATGAGCGCTAAACTTATTTCTTAGGACAAATCAAAAATACAAAATTGAAAGCTTTAATACTATGCATACTTACTTGAAAAGAAGTCTCACTGTACACTAAAGTGGGACCTGAATAAACACATAAGATTGCACATTGGCTGTATTCAGTCTTTCACCTTCTCCAGTTTAGCTACAAAGAGGGAATTGGAAAGTTTTATTTCCCTTGTAGACAGTTTAGGGTTTGGCAGATGTAATAAACTACAGCTAATTGGGCTTTTTTCAACAAAGCATAGTTAGGATCAACCATAGTTTGTCAGGGGTTTTCTATCATGACAAGCTATAGTCATATAGGTCCTTATAATATCAGTGGAAACAGTGGGTCTTGGCAAGTATTAACCGCTTCCAATTTTAACCTGAAGATTGCCACTTGTCCAGTTTTAGTTTTAATTTTAATTGTTTGAATTAATTGTGGGATGTATCTTAATTGACTGATCGCTTGTATTATGCATATCATCTTATTTATATGATGTTAGCCACTCTGAGCCTGGCTTTGACTGGGGAGGGTGGGATACAAATAAAATTATTATTATTATTATTATTATTATTATTATTATTATTCTAAAATGAAAAGCTCCTGAACTCTTCCTTGCAGCTATGCCAGAGAAGGAGAGGGAAGTGCACAAAACCAAGGCTTGCGGCAGCTTGTTATTGTAATGTTTCTGTAAGCCATGGTTCAGGTCCAAATGAGGACATCATAATTTACTGTACAGTGAATAGCAAGTACGACTCACTCATACTTGGTGAGAGCTATTATCTTATTCTCTAGTGTTGTTGTTTTTTAAACTGCAGATACTAAAAACTCTTAACATTATGTTCAGTACTAAAATAAATGCTGGAGATTTATTTTAAAAAACAAGAGCAAAAGAGCTCAAAAAAATTCAGCAGTTGTTTATAGTTGTTTACATTCTTTATAATGAATCTAGAACATTTCGTTTGTTATCTCTTTGGCCAACTAGTGCCTAGACAGATACTACTACTCTTAACATTATTAATACTATTAATTAAAAACAGACCACAAAATGAACACAACATTTTAAACTTGCTGATAGTTTAGCTGCAGCTCTAATCTAATTCTCACCTCCCAGTTTTAAAACAAGAGACTTGTTAAAAAACAAAAACACAATTCCCTAAGATTTCTTCTATGCTCATCCAGTAAGTCTGTCTCTTTCTATGCACACTCAGTTTTATTCATGGTCTACACAGAATGTGTGCTATGAGTTTTTCACTTCCATGACATAAAAGTCCGTTTGGGTTTGCTATCTTAGTTATGGTCCAAACTGTTCTTTGTCTTCAGCATTTCTTCTAGGTAGATTACTAACACTACACCACACAGTAGTAAATATTAAGAAATTAAGCAAAATGTTCTAGTAAGGCAGGACCAGAAACCTGTAAGCATTCAGAGTGTTGGGACAGGGGGTGGAATTTGGTAGATAAAAATTCCATATATAGGAATCCACAGTGATGCGGGTGGCACTGTGGGTTAAACCACAGAGCCTAGGACTTGCCGATCAGAAGGTCGGCGGTTTGAATTCCCGTGACGGGGTGAGCTCCCGTTGCTCGGTCCCTGCTCCTGCCAACCTAGCAGTTCGAAAGCACGTCAAATTGCAAGTAGATAAATAGGTACCGCTCCGGCGGGAATGTAAACGACGTTTCCGTGCGCTGCTCTGGTTTGCCAGAAGCGGCTTAGTCATGCTGGCCACGTGACCAGGAAGCTGTACGCCAGCTCCCTCGGACAATAAAGCGAGATGAGCGCCGCAACCCCAGAGTCGGCCACGACTGGACCAGATGGTCAGGGGTCCCTTTACCTTTATAGGAATCCACATATCATCAGTGGAAGGATCAACTTGTGTTACCAATGAATGTACAGGTAGGCATTAGGGGTTCTCCCCCCCCCCCATCAAACTTAAAATTCTCTGATAGTCAGATTTCCATTTGCAGAGGAACTGGGAAACTGATGAATTCACTTAATATGTTTGTAGAAGTTCTCTCTGGCTCACTGAATAGGAGCTTTAAGTTTAACTTTGAACGTACCCCCCCAAATGGATGCAACATAAACATTTACAGAATTGCACGACCATTTTTAATGCATTTTATTGACACAGGCATGCACTCACTCACCCAGGAAAGTCTGATTCAATTCCAAATGGCTTTTCACCAAATCCTCAAAAATACAGAATGTTGGTTGAAGTCCTACAGTTGCAGCAGGTCACAAACTGGGCCTAAGTTAAGATTATTTGCAAAATCCACTTTAAAAGTTCATGTGTGGTGGTTTCATCATGTGTAACACAGCTGCGTGAACGTGCCTAAGTGTGCTGTCTCTTTCCCTTTTTAATGCATTTAGGCTTGCACATAAAGCAAAACACTCATGCAGTATGTGCAATCTAAAGTCACAGTTGCAAAATGTATTCTGCAATTCCTTTGACATTAAGCAGCCTACCTAACTAAAACAAGCTGTTGTTCCTAGTGTTTTGATCAACTGGAAGATGTCCAATTAACTAAATGAGAGTGGACTAAAAGTACAGAACAACAAGAACTTCTTATTTTTATTATTTTTAGTCCATTGTTGTACTATGTGATGCTGGTGATGTACTATGAAAGTAACATAAAAACCGCTGGTTAAACAGATGAAGTGCATAGATGGCAACTCCTTTGGCTCTAGATACAATCTTTACATCTGGATGTCAGGCAGGACATAGATGAGCTATTAGTCAAGTCCTTCAGATGATTTCCATAGAATGAAAGGAAAAGGTCTTAGGTAGCCTTATTAAGAAACTTCAGAGTTTACCTTGTTAGTGTCTGCTATAAAGCAATGTAAATAATATGCTTTGAAAACCAGCTAAAGATAAATGATTGAAGAGCTTTTTAAAGTTCTCTTTGTACCTCTGCCCTCATAACAAGGAACAGCTGTTCAAACCAGGCATCAAAAACAGCTCTCTAGCTCAGATTTAACAATGCCAAGACACAGCTGTAATTGAAAGAGAGATGGATGGTTAGTGCTGAAGAAGATGGAAATTTACCAGAATGGATGGTGTTTAAATGTGTTCTTTTAAAAAGCTAATGAATAGGGAGATTTCTGCTGACAGAAAGCAAAATATAACAGTATAAAACATGGATATTGATACAAAAGCTATCCTCATACAGCTGATAACTGTGTCTGTTTATTTAAACATAGGTGTATTTATGATAGGGTCAAAATCCTATTTGAGAACTGTAGCCAAGTTAACTATGCTGCCCAACAATGCCAAAGCGTATTATTGTATCCAAGCAATTCATGCAAAACATATTTTGCCCGGGGATAGGTATATTTATTTGCAATATTTTTATCACCCAAACAAGAAGAGGGGATGATGCAGTTGCAAAGAGGAGCTCAAAAGCTTTTGCTTTCATGATAGATTAACTGTAGTTTATATTCATGTCTAAATCTGGACAAACTGTGGTTAATCTTAAATATGGTTTGTTGAAACAAGCCAACGTCAATCCCTACGTTATAAAGCTGGTTTGTTTCAGGCCAGAGGGAGGAGGAAGAGTCAGGGCAGTCCCACCTTCTTCCCAGCACATGACCCAAGGCAGCTCACAGCATAAATTAAATTAGGTCTTTTGTGTCCTGTAGTTTCCCCTGTTGAAGAACTTGGCTTAGAGGAAAGCTGGGCACCTTGCAAATCACCATGCTGGTGGGATCCCACCCAACCACCATCTTAATTTCCTGCCATCATAGAATCATAGAATTGTAGAGTTGGAAAGTTCCATGAGGGTCATCTAGTCCAATACCCTGCAATGCAGGAATCTTTTTGCCCTGTGTAGGGTTTGAATCCAGGACCCTGAGATTAAGAGTCTCATGCTCTACTGCTTGAACCGTGTGGAGCCATTTATACTTATAAATTAGCACATGATGTTTTTATACAAATCTTTCACATATTTAAGGGAAAATATGTGTACTCTGGAACTGCCAGACTATTAACACAAGGCAGTGCTGTTTCAGATACCCACTAAAATACGTGTGTGTGTGTGTGTGTGTGTGTGTTTCAGCAACCTGATCCAGACATGTAAACAAGTAATATATACTTTACTGGTTTTACTTGCATTTAGTTCGTTATTTTAAAAGGTTTGCTTAGGGATTTTTTGATTAAGCTGTTCGTACATTCCAGGATCATGACCTGCTTCAGGCAGCACCGTGTTGGTGGTGGGGTAGATAAAGGCAGGACCTGGTGCAATAAGACTTTAAAGCCTTGGCACCTACTTGAGAGGCCACCATTTGAAATCTGCTTCGGGGTCTTGCCAACAGCATCTACTTAAAAACAAATACTTCTTTTAAATAAATTTGGCTTAGGTAGATGCAGGGACCCTCCTTTCAATTATACTATTCAGGTTTCATTTAATAAAGACAGCACGGAGCAGTTTTAAGCAGTATAGACTCCCCCCCCCCCTCTACATTTCTTAAGCTCTTGGAGATGACACTGTTGTAGTAAAGTTTGTTTCCTTAGTTACCTGATAGCTGCCAACAAGAGCGGCTATCAAGTGCCCTTCATATTTTTGCACTGTCCTCTATGTAATTGATTGGAACTGTCTTTTTCAGCATTCCTGTGGAGTGAACTGAACTGTGCTTTCCTTATCTTTCACAGACATAGTTTTGCAATGCTCACTAGCTATTCATTTGGGGAACAGTTCACATGTGTCATTTTTATTAAAATGAGTCATTTTTTTTAAAAAAAAGTGTGGAAGCTAAGTGTGAAGAAGATAAGAGTGTTTATTTTCGCAGTGATTACATGTACAACATGGCATCTGCATGTGCAGAGATGTGAACACCAGTGATTGGAAGAGAAAACAGGGAAAGGCCACCATCATTATAATCTATTTACACAAATATTCAGACCCAGAGAGGTCTGATGATTATAAATGAGATTACAATATAATATTCTCCCTGATTATACAGTATATACCCTTTGGCAGCTCTTCTCCAGGTGATCTCAATGGAAATGCCACAGCTTTTGCCACTCAAAATAAATCAGCTATGCCCAGTCACCTGATGGCATATCCAGGCAAGTTTGATCATGAGTATCCTGGTTTGGCAGAAAAATCCAGAACGGTCATGAAAAGGTCAACTATTAAGGTGAACCAAACTGTGATGTTTACAACTATAGCCTTGGAAACCCTAACAAGAGGTAATGCATAAGCCATGGGAATTTACACACAGCTTGACTTCCATAAGTCGTGTCAAAAGGTCGGCAAAACACAGAACTACTGATTTCAAAGGAGAGTTAAATGGGAAAGACACTGAGATGGGTAGTTTTCTCTAAGTCTCTCTGGGCCCATCTGCACCATACATTTAAAGTACTATTATACCACTTTAACAGTCATGACTCACCCCGCCCCCCAAATCCTGTGAATTGTAGTTATTATTATTATTTAAATCATTTTTATCGATTTTCCAGTAAAAACAGCCAATCAACATATCCACATCATAATCCAATTAAAAACAATAGACTAAAATGATTTGTAGTTATTTAAGGCTGCTGAGAGTTATTAGGAAACCCCATTCCCCTCACAGAGCTACAATTCCGAGAATTCTCTGGAAAGAGAGAATGATTGTTAAACCACTCTGGGAAGTACAGCACTATGAGGGGAACAGGGGTCTCCTAGCAAAACTCAGCACCCTTAAACTGCATTTGTAGTATAGTAGCTAGTATAGGAGATCCATCAGTTGTCCCAATTTCATAGGGACATTTCAGATTTGAAACCCACAGCCCTCACCCTTGGGTGAAGCAGTGACAGCAGGTACTGCCAAACGCCTTAGGACACTACAGGGCACCTGTGTCCTCTCGCATCCCTGAGAGTGCAGTGTACCAGCTGTCTCAGCATCGTGAGGGTACACCAAGGCAGTGAGCAGAGAGGAGCATGTGACAGTGGCGCAAATGGCGCTTGGCTGCAATGTGCGCCCTGTCCTGGCTGGGAGGCAAACGGCCAAGCAGGGTCCCACACTCACTAAGTGGTGGTGGCAGTGGAACTGCCTAGAGAGCAACATCTGACATTGGAGAAGAAGAAGGTGAGCTCTGGCTTCAGCTCCCTCCACTCCTCCTCTCTGCCTCCCAACTGGCTGTGTTCCTTGTCAGCAGTGGGCTTTAAGGAGAGAGTGTGCTCCCTCAGCTTCCAGGAAACTTGTCCTGCCAGGGCAAGTGAGAGATTCCAGCCTTGCTACATGACCCTCAGGACCCTTCCAACTCTGCAGTTCTATGAGTCGATGATTCTCTTAGTGGGTCATGTGACTAGGTCCCAAAAGCCCCCCCCCCCAATTTTCCTCTGTGACATATTGGAGGATACGGTGGCTCCAGCTAACTCACTGAGCCGGTTCTGTTCTGGGGGTTCATGGAACCCCCAGGAAGTGAAAAACACAGAAAACACTCATTTTAGGACCTAAAAAACACAGTATTCAGTAAAACAAAAAATATACCATTACCGACAAGATGTGAATGTTTTTCAAGAACCACAAAAACTTTCAGTGGGGCTTGATACAGGACGCAAGTCTTGGATTAACCATTCCTGCTTTATTATTTTAGATTTTCTTTAGGTTAATACACTTTGTAAACTTCCCTGAGGATTCCTCAGGATCAAAAGCACAGGATATGAAACACAATAAATAAAATAAATGAATATTACATGTGGAAGCCAACCTAGAAATTAAGCATACAAGTGTTGTAACATTGGTCATGTATTTGAGAAAAAATTATGGCTTTATTGCCATTACTTTTTTGATGCTTTCCAAGCTATTTAATAAAATATTCAATGGCAAGTAAAACTCACATGGAGTATACCATAAATCTGTAGGGTACACTGTAAAGAAATACGGTATTCGCTGATTTAAATATTTGTATTCCTACAAAAACACAACACAAAATGTGATGTAATTCCTTCAGATGTATGACTGACCCTTTCACTTCTACCTGAATGCAGAGAATCAAAACGCTTCATAACAGGATTAACTCAACTTCTCAACTAAATTCCTTTAGGGTATCGTAATGCATGCTAAGATTTCCAGGCTGTACTATGAGATCACATTTTTCCTTCTCACTTTAAAATTGTCATAAATTCTATATGAGTACCAATACTGTTTGCTTTTTCAGTAGCTATATTCACCTTTAAAGAATGTTAAGACATCTATAAATAGCATTTAACATTATATAGGATGAAATAGTCATATGTCTATAAGGAACAAGGCATGCAACTTGGAAATGGGACTGCCATTTTACAAGGGATTTCCAGGACACTATAGTTAATGTATTTTTAATTTAAGAACATATGTACTGAAAAGATGTAGCAGTTAAAATCAGGAAAGGCATTCTTCTCCCATGGCAGGGATGGGGAACCTGTGGGCCTTCAGTGGTGGATGAACTCCAGCTCCCACCAACCCCAGCCTGCATGGCCAATGGTAAGGTATAGTGGGAGTTGTGGTCCAGCAATATCTGAAGAGTCACAGGAATGGTTCCCCATTCCTGTATAACAACAAACTAGCACATCTTTGGGGGAACACTGGCTGCTTATTTACAAAATCAAATAGCTTCCGCTTGATGAACATAAATATTCCAAATAACAAATCATTTTGTTTAGATTTAGCAACTGTCCAGCTAATATACGAGGCTGAATACTGGGGCTTGAATGATGCGTCCTACCTATACAGTGGTACCTCGGGTTACAGACGCTTCAGGTTACAGACACTTCAGGTTACAGACTCTGCTAACCTGGAAGTAGTACCTCAGGTTAAGACCTTTACCTCAGGATGAGAACAGAAATTGTGCAGTGGTGACACGGCGGCAGCGGGAGGCCCATTACCTAAAGTGGCACCTCAGGTTAAGAACAGTTTCAGGTTAAGAACAGACCTCCAGAACGAATTAAGTTCTTAACCCGAGGTACCACTGTATCTCTAATTCAAAATCAGACTCTAAGATCCCTCTCCCTGTCCCATGCCTTGTCTTGTGCCATGATGGGAGAAGGGACTGGGTTTCCATTTTAAAAAGAGAGCCAGATAATATGATGATTCTCACACCATGACTTAAGCTGTCAAAATAACCAGAACACAGATACAGTGGTACCTCGGGTTACATACGCTTCAGGTTACACACTCTGCTAACCCAGAAATAGTGCTTCAGGTTAAGAACTTTGCTTCAGAATAAGAACAGAAATCGGGCTCCAGTGGCGCGGAGGCAGCAGGAGGCCCCATTAGCTATAGTGGTGCTTCAGGTTAAGAACAGTTTCAGATCAAGAACGGACCTCCAGAACGAATTAAGTACTTAACCTGAGGTACCACTGTACTGTATTCTGAAGTGTTGCTTGCTTGACTTTTGAATGGCTAAGTAAGATGCGACTGTTTGAATGTGACAAACCGGGCCTTCAGAAAAATATTGCAGTGGGATACTCCTGTTCAAGGTTCAGGGTTCCAACAATGTCTTTTTCCAGGATACACCATTCCATTCCCCTTGGCCTTCTCTCACCCACCTCCAGGTGTATCCATTAGTATCCATTAACGTGGGAGACAGGGCCATAGCACACATCCAAGTCTCTAACACTCTGGTACGCATCACCCCATCCACTGTGCCCATGCATGGGAAGATCTTCAGGGGACATTTGCTCTCATTTGCTTGAACACTGGTGGAACCCTCTGCATGATCAGAGACCCTGCTCTCATCTTCCAAAGGTGTCTCTAGCTATTTTGACATCATGGTGGGTCGGTTACCTGTAATTTTCCCAGCAAAAGAGATACTCATCACCTCTCACTTCAGCAAATCATGCACAAAGTTTCCAGTTTAAACCTCTGGGTAAGAAAACATCTGTGTAAATGAATCCTTTGTATTTTGATAGTGCATGCGTGCACACACACACACACACACAAGCATTGGAAGTACATGTTGGATGTTTTCCATACATGAAATGTAAGGGAAAATAAAATAAATCCACCAGTTTGATTGATTTTCATTAGGAATTATTTTTAAAGCAATATGTATTAAACAATGAAGCACGAGTAACATGAGCTAAATGCACAAAAATATTACAACCTTAAGCATTTACCTACATAGCACAGGAAGTGACTTTGTATTGTATCACCCCGAGGTGCCATTTCAAGTTTCAGTAGTTGAATGTGTGGGGTATTCACTGCAAAGTTCAGAGCAGCTGTTAATATTGTTATGAAGTATTAAGGCACGGGAAGAGGAAGATTTACCACATCTTCATAGCCATGCACACCTTTTTGTGTAAGAAATCAAAATAGGCACACACCTCCAGTTTATACATAAGTGAAATACACACATCAATACACACATAGCTGCTCATGTCTCATGAAGGGTTGGTGAGTCTGTCGATTTTGTTTCCTTCGCTTCTCATTTTTCAAATCTTCAGCTGCTCTTTCAGATGATCTCAATGAAAGTGAAAATCAATCTGGACACAAAAGTTGTTGAGCCAAATCTAGACTTCTGTATGGCCTTGAACCTGGCTTGGTAACAAATAGATGTGTTTTCACGTGCACTTTCCCAATATTATTATTATTATTATTATTATTATTATTATTATTATTATTGATATTAAGCTGCATTGCCAAAGTCAGAGAAATGCACATTTGAAGGAGAGACACGTTTCAGTTTATGTATTGTTTTGTCACAGCAAGCTGATTCACAGTAAAATGCAAACTGGACTGCGTTTAATTCCCATCTCTCATCCCTCTCCATTCCACTGTCCTGGCTTCTGCTTGACTGCCATACAAAATGGAAGAATCCTCATTGTCTTCCACCACCATTTTGCAAGCATTTGTTGCATCACATCCTTGACATTGTAGAAAGCCCCCTGTAAGAGGTGCACATACCTTTCCTGAATTTTTACTTTCAGGCCAGAATTTCTTGGATTGAAGGGGCTTTTGACCACTGAGTAAATTATTCCATTTCTCCTCAGTTTCATATTTGCATGCTTATAGATTTTATGAGCTTATATAGTATGACTAAGTTACAGTGTGCATTGTATTGAAATAGCTTTTGGGGGGCAAGTGGGATTTTAAAAAATGCAATTCATAACGTAAAAATTCAGCAGCAATCTGATAAGGGCTGGCCTTTGCCAACCACCACCACCACCACTCCATTATCTTCCCTACAGCTTGGAGAAAATGTCCAAAACTGAATAAAAAGGAAGTACAGTTTTGAGGTTTTTAGCTTTTCTTTGAACAAAGCTCAAATCTGCTTCGTTTTTGGTCTGTAGATCATTTGAAAATGAGTAAAATGAAGATCATGTATTGCTGAAAGCTGAGATTGTTTAAGCTTCCTCTAAATTGATTGGTTTTTAAACAATGTCATAGCTGATGTCAGTTGGAGTTGGAAAAGCTTACGTTTCTGCCAAGGGCGTTTACTGTAAATTGGCAGTTAGCAACATAAAGCTTGGATTTGCTACTGGCAAACACAGTGAGGCCTAGAAGAGCAAACGGTGGGCAGCAGGGTAATTTGCTTCAATAGAAAAATGGGACTTCAGAGAGAAAGCCAGAGAGAGCTAGGGAGCTTTTGTGCACTCTGCATACAAAGTCTAATAGGAACGTTTAGAAGGAAAGTCCTTGGCCTGGATTTAAGAGCAAATGGAGCCATTTTGTGTCACTCTTTCACATCTGGAAGGAAAATAAGTGGCACTTCTGCACAATGTAGAATGGTAAGCTGGAAAAGGGAATTAATAAAGTAGCTGCCAGAGGAATGGAAAATGGTATGTCATGAACTAGTCAATCCATGCAAGTTGGAGCATTCTAAAGTTGCACAAGGCCAAAACCATGATTTCATGAACTGAAATTGCTAGAAAAAGATATGTTATTGAAAATGCAATACAGCTGAATTGGAAACACAAGCAGCATCACCCCCAATGCCAACCATTTGCCATGGCCAACTCACAGGTGGGACCAGATGACAGAAATGACACCCCCCCCCCCAGCATGCTAATCCACAAAAATAACCAAACCATGCAATTAAAAATGGTTTTACTTGTGCTTGGAAATATCTCATAAACATTTTCACTGAAATGACTAGGCAATTCTTAAAGCAGGGGTTGGAGAATATCAGGCCCCAGTGTGTGGTTGTCCCTGGCTTGATTGTGTTCTTGAAATGCAATCATGCCTTTTGCTTACCTGGGTATGGAAATATGGTTCTAGGGATGTATCTACAGAAACCTCTGGCTTTGATGTGAGTGGGATGTAGCCTGTTGTAGAAAGGTAAGAGTCACATCTACTGCTCTATCCACTTTTGTGTCTGGTCACATCCACATTTGCTTCCAAATCTGCCCACCACTGGCATGTGGGCCCTGGAAGTTTGCTCATGAAGGAATGTGACCCATAGGCATCTCTACTTGGCCTTCAGTTGATCTTTGGGCTGGAATGAAAAATGTCCCTGTCCCCGTCTTCAAGTCTGAGACAATGCCAAAGCATGTTGCAATGGAGAAGTAATGGGGAAATGGATGAGGCATTGGAATAAGATAAAATTTGTGGTCTGGAGTAGACATGGTGATGTGTTTGAGTGAAATATCAGCAGAGGAACAGAGTAAGCAGGAGGGAGTCAGGAATATAGGAAGCTGCCCTGCACTGGTCCTTCTAGCCTAGTATTATCTGCACTGCCAGACAGTGGCTCTCCAAGATTTCAGGGAAATGTTTTCCCCAGCCCTACCTGAAGATGCTGGGAATTGAACCTGGGAATGATAGATGCTCTGCCAGTGAGCTATGGTCCATCACAAAGTTGGTGACACTGGCCAGAAGGCTCTGTCCAGGAGCCATCACTAGAACCCTTATGTGGAGAGATCTGGAGCAGGACTCTATGGGAAGTTTGAAAGTACAGCTATGTTCACATGGGAGAAAATGGTTGCGATGGTAGAATCTGGGCAAGCTGGAAGCATATAGAGAGGCAAGTATTGGCTGAGGTACAGAAGAAGGATCAGAAATATCAATCTGGCACACTAACTCCAAGAGACCCCAACGGCAGATAGAGAAAAACTCTGACCCCGCAGCTTGGAAGAGCTCCGTTGTATGAACACAACAGAACTATTCTCTCAAAAATTATATGGCATTTTGACTCCCCTCCTCCCAAACTGTGTAGTATTAAGTTTTATAACATTACACAGAACAATTCTAGCCTGTTTCTAACTTCAGTTGTGCTGGGACACAGTCCATTTATTTTTTATTATTTTAAAAAAGGATGCACATTGAAGCTTGGAAAAAGGAAGATAATGGCTGAAAGTAAGATATTCCTTTCCTTGTAGCAGGGCAAGTTTTACTGGAAAAACCTGCTAGTGCTTGCTTTAGTTCTGTACCTTCCTTAGTAATTTTATAACAGTTGTATTTTTCCCCTATTCTGTAATTTTACCCTATGAATAAAAGACACACAACTGGCACACTTTTAATGTCTCAGTTTTTGGGAACATTCATGTAATTGACCAGAACAAAGTGGGGAAAGAAACAAGCATTGGAACTTTATGAGTGATTATAAAATAGTGAATATGAAGCTTCACATTTTGAGTACATTTACACCAAACAAGGAAAGCAACTTATTTCCCTATTGATTTCTTCCACTTTGGTACTTGACTAAAAACCATTTTACAATATTAAATTTAGAGAGGTTAGAGGTATAAAAATATGATATGATAATAATATGATTAAAAATTATATAATAAATAGTAATTTTGTATTACTATTTCTTCATATTGTTTCTCTTAGGTATACCAATGTAGGATTGAATCCTGCATCTGCAAAATACAGGGTGCAGGGAAGCAATGTACTGATGAACTATACATTTGAAACCAATAAAATATAAACTCAACTAACCTCAAGAGTTATTGAGCACATAGTACAAATATATGTTGGCTTTGCTGAAATTATTAAACTGGCATGGAGGACCTGTGTCACTCCAGATGTTGTTGGACTCCATCAGCTTCAACCAGCATGGCAAAATGTCAGGGATGATGGGAGTCCAACAACTTCGGGGGGGCATGTCCCCATTATAGTTATAAAATCATGTGCACAGACAGCCTTTTGACTTAAGCTTGCTGACCATTCTGTCCCTTAGAGATTCATTGAAAGCTTTGGCACACATTGCAGATGAATGTGTAGGGCTTTCAGCATTCAGAAGGCTTGAAAACCATGAATATTTTATTGGAGTTCTAATTTTAAGACTGGCTTCTGGGTTTTTCTTTTGGCACTATAGTTTAGCAAAGGCAACTCAGCAATTAGGGTGGGTTTTTCCCCCTCCAGAAAAACTTCTTATTACAGCCAGAAACCTTTAAATTTAAAGTTTCTTGGTCTAGACTAAGATGACATCTACCAAAACAAAACACCACACGAGGAAAAGATGCTTTAATCACTCTCTTGCTGTTTCCGTCATTTGCTGAGTGACAATATCAACTAGTTATAGAGCATAACCATTTAGAGGGCTGCCTCCTGATCTAACTGTGCTCATTCTTCTCAATCCTGGCCCACAGCCATGATAAGTCCTCTGCTGCACCTCCTAAATCATTAGTTTGGAAATACAACAAAGAGCTGCTGAGCTAAGGCACTGTCACCAAATTCTGCTGTTCTGAATGGTAACCGTGCTTATACATTTCAGTTTCAAGTGAATTGTCACAGACTCTACTTTTTTGCATTAATAATATTACATTCCATTGTTTTACTTCTTTTTCCCTCTCTGCACCCCTCTGTATATATCTGACAGCTGAGGATAACGCTCCATGCATCTGATGAAGTGATATCTAGTCCATGCATAAGCACCACTTTTCATCTGCTATGTTGCTAGGAACAGAACTTTGGCACTGTTTAGTTTTACTCTTACTAAATCTCAACTTAGTATCACGTTTGAAACAGTCATCCTGATTTAAAACAAACTCTGGTAAGTTTAATAAGAAGCCAACTTCAAACCATGGTTTATAAAGCTAACTTGCTAGAGTTTGTTTTGAACCAGGATCCTTGGTTTGAATGTAACATTAAGCCTAGGTTCTATAAAACTTAAAGGAAATTCTGCTAAAGTTCTCCTGGTGACATGGGAGTAAGACAAGGAAGTAAACTAGCCCTTTGCTAAACCATGAGTGTATTATGTGAATGCAGCTATTATGTAGACACACTAAAGCACTGACTGACTAGAGTCAACAAATGGGCTCCATTGGCAACCTATCTTTGGCAAGTAGTCACAAATATGTGGAAACATGGCTTTCTGCTTAGGTACCAAATTTTGCAATGATTGAGATCATTACATGAAGCAAGGCTGTTGCTATTAGATGATTTTACCAACTTTGATACTTGAAGGAAAAGTAGTGTGCACATCTGGCATGATGGAACATGAACACAGTAAATTTAATTACAGAGTGGACAGAGCCATGGGCTCCATGCTGTTGCTACTGTAAAGCCAAAGAGCATTCATATTAACCCAACATTTCCTTATAAAAGAGCTGGTTTTACTGCAATGTAGCTGGCTCTGTAACATCCTGCTACTTGCTTTTAAATGCGGATAAAAATCAATGTTACCATCTGTGCCAGGGGAGGTCACTCTACAAAGAGAAGTACTAAAAATATATATTTAAAATGTGTCCTGAAAGCTGCCCCTAACCTGGTTATTCTTGGCTATTATCTTGCTTTCTTGTTTCATAGTGTTCCAACTCGATGACTTCTTCCATAAGACTAGACACTTTTCAACAGAATATAATTAACTGGAACTTTTGTCTCTTCTTTTCAGTCCTTGCATATTTCCATTTGTTCCCATAGTTCTGAAGACACTGTTTGTTACAATGTTTTCCATTCAAATGGACAGCAATATTTCATAGATATATTCTTCCTTTCAGGAAAGACTGTCTCAAAACTGATCTTTCCACCCAAAATAATTGTGACATCCTCACAGCACAACACAGCAGACTTTTCCTATCTCTTTGCCATTTTGGAAGCTGTTTATTTCATTTCCCCCCTCCCCATTCACACATTTGTTTACTGTCTGTGGACTTCTATAGCACAGGATACAGCCAACATGTTTTAAAATGATCCTCCCTGGCTAGACTGCACAGTCCTGTTTGGACTATATGCTGAGCTATGGCTCCTACAGTCTCATCACACAAACTAAAATGTGGCTGTGGCATGCATTGCTAATTGTCTAGCTAAGTTCTGGGAGTTTGGGGGATACCAAAAATCTTCTCAGAAAGAGATGCCTATCTGTACTCTTCAAATGTCTTAGAGAATGTTGAATAGGACTCAGGAGACCAGGGTTCAAATCTCCACTTGGCTATGAATCTCATTGAATTACCTCCATGTTCTCAGCCTGACTTACCGCCCAAGCTTTTTTGTCATGATTAAATGCAGAGGAAAGTATATGTATTCCACTTTGAGCTCCTTGGAGAAAGAGGTGGAATATAAATGCAATATATAAATGAATAAAAGTTTGTTTCTTTTCTCACTGTAAATGTTATCTTAGCAATGCCAGGATGATTTTGTTCAGGAATTCCCATGAATTGGTTGATTTCACCAAGCAAGGCAGAGTGGCAGCAGTTGCAGTTAGAGCTGTTGTGAATCTCCATGGTGCTTTAATTTCATTTATTTATTGCATTTCATTGTCATTCCCACCCCCCGCATACCCATACATATATAAACCTGAGTGGAACTTTTCATGTACCTGAAAGTGTAAAGGTAAAGGGACCCCTGACCATTAGGTCCAGTCATGGCTGACTCTGGGGTTGCGGCGCTCATCTCACTTTACTGGCCGAGGGAGCCGGCGTACAACTTCCGGGTCATGTAGCCAGCATGACTAATCTGCTTCTGGCAAACCAGAGCAGCACACGGAAATGCCGTTTACCTTCCTGCCAGAGTGGTACCTATTTATCTACTTGCATTTCACGTGCTTTTGAACTGCTAGGTTGGCAGGAGCTGGGACCGAGCAATGGGAGCTCACCCCATCGCAGGGATTCGAACTGCCGACCTACTGATTGCCAAGTCCTAGGCTCTTTGGTTTAACCCACAGCACCACCCACGTCCCCTACCTGAAAGTGTATGCCACAATAAATTTATTCATCTTCAAGACACTACAAAATTCTTTATTGCGTGAAGAATTTTCTACAATAGGATGTGATGATGATCGCCAACTATGAAAGCTTTTAAAGAGACTTTGACAAATTCATGGAGGATAAGGCTATCCATGGCTACTAGTCACGAGGTCTACATTATTTCCAGTATCAGAGGCAGTGTGCTTTTGGAGGTCAGTCACTAGGGAGCACAAATAGCAGCTTACCTGGAATCACAATGCTAGCTTCCTGACAGGCATAGTGGCAACTTATCAGGAGGAAGGGGTGTGTGGCACTGGGGATGAAAGTGCATGCGCTCATAGAACTAACCCAACACTCCTGCCTACATTCCTACATCACACCAACCTTCCTGCCATATTTTCTCTACCACCTGGTAAGTGGTAGTGACACACCTGAGAAGTTAGCATTATGGTTCTTCACCACTTGGCAAGCCACTTCTGCCAGAAGTGTCTTCCTTGTGGGATTCCCATAGACATCTATGACAACAGAATGCTGGACTAGGTAGGCCTTTAGTTTTTTCCAGCAGGGCTTTTCTTATGTTGTTATGCTGCAACAGACTAGCATGTCTACCTCTCTGGAAGTTGATGCAGGGAGATAGTGAGGCTTTGAAAATGTGAACTGAGTGTGTGGCTTGTGATGTAACCCAGTATCCTTTGCAATAGACAGGACTACTATGGCAAACATGCAATGACCCATAAGCAGACAAATTGATGTGGAAAGAGTTTCCTCAAGTACAGATGGATAAATCTGTCAATTTTTGATCCTCTCAGTATCTCATTTTAACCAGTTATAGGTTCAGCTCTCCACATTCCTGCACCAGTTTGCAACTTCAAAAAACTCACCCGCATTTCAGTGCATATTTAAACTAATATGGAAATTTCTCTTTGAAATTTTGACCCATATAAATTTGGCAAGCTTTTTTTTTTTTTTTTTTACTATACAGTGGTACCTCAGGTTACATACGCTTCAGGTTACATACGCTTCAGGTTACAGACTCCGCTAACCCAGAAATAGTGCTTCAGGTTAAGAACTTTGCTTCAGGATGAGAACATAAATCATGCTCTGGTGGTGCGGCGGCAGCAGGAGGCCCCATTAGCTAAAGGCTTCAGGTTAAGAACAGTTTCAGGTTAAGTACAGACCTCCAGAACGAATTAAGTACTTAACCTGAGGTACCACTGTATACTTCTTTCTACGATACATATGTTTCCACACATTATTCACTTGTAAAACTGTATAAGAAAACTCAGAAAAGTGCAAATTTCATAGGATACCTGTGTTTCATTTTGTTTCAGAAAGTGCAAATCATGTAGGTTTGCATAAGAATTCTAACAATTTTCATACCTGTTCCTACCCTCAAGATTAAAAAATTGAAAATGAAACCTATGTGACATACAAAAATATTCTGTTTTTGGACTTCAGTAGCCCAAAGATTTGAAGATTTTGAACACCCTCTGTTAAGTAGTATGCCATGACTCACAGGGTGCACCAATGAAAGACGTACAAAGGCTAAATGTGAAGTTGTGAATTTATTATATTGGGATAATCTTTTATGGGCTATTTGCATCAGACCTCATATCATTAAATTACTCCTCAGTAATAAAAATGAAAAGATTCTGCAACCATTGTGCGCCTTCCCAGAAGGTTCTCTTTCACTTCCTGAAAAAGAATTTCATTGACTAGCAGTTGAGAACAATCATGCTCCACATTTTAAAAGCAATAAACACTTTGTCCCAATGAAATCCTAAGTATATGATGTGAACATGTGCTTCATTGTGGCAGTTGTGTCTAAAATGTGGGCACCAGTGAGCTGGAATGCTGGAATGTACCACATGTCCCTCTCTCCACACACACACACACACACACACACTTCACAAAGATGTTTACTAACTCCATTGTTTTCTTGTGAATTTTGTATTAATTCTGGTGTGTTTCTGCCTTAAAATGATTTAACTCAGAAATGTCTAAAGATAGATAACACCGTTGCCATGGCATCATCAGAACATACATTGGTATGAATAAACATTCAACATGTACATTAAGCGCTGGCTGTAGAAAAGCCAAAGACGTTTGAAACAAAATCTTTCATTGGCTTTCCCCTTCAATAATACTTAGCGAATAAATGGGAACTAAATTTTCAGATCTGTTTTCACAAGGTGAAAGAATTGCTGTGGTAAAACGGCATTTTGTTTCCCATATTCTGCCTCACACTGTAGTTTCTGGCGTATTGCATATGTTACAACTGAGAACCCAAACCACAGCAATAAATCCACTTTGGTTTTGGCATAGACGTTGTCGGAGGCACCAGTGATCGTGCCTGCAGGCTAGTAGCTGCGTACAATACAGACCAATTCCTTGGGACAGTAATATTTTTACAAGTTCTTCATGTTCTTGATATCCTTCAGCTCCTTCCAGAAATATGGTAGTGCTCAAATTACAACTCATTTAGTCATCTCTTGCAGGCATTGTAGCATGAAAGTCCTTTTATTTGTCACCACAACTTTTTTTTTCTCCACAGGATAAAACGTGCACAGGGCTATACTCTGGTGCCCTTTAAATTTGCAGAAGGCTCATTGATCCATTAGAGGCTTCCATCAACAAAATGGGGACAGAGGCCATTTAGATCAAAAATATATCCCTTTCCCCGCTGTCCTTTATTGTAAGGATAATCTCCCTTGGACCAGGCTGTCACCAGAAAGTTTTGATACCATTGGGCTATGGCCAGCAGGGCTCAGTGCAACCAGCAGGCCTCACATTCAGAGTCCATCTCCTTCCTAGACTGAGTCCACACTCAAAATCTGCCTCAAGGTTTGGTGGACCCTTCAGAAAAGTATGGGCGGGAGAGGGAATTTAGCAAAAATCACCCCCACCCCTTGTTCCATTGGCAGTAACCTCCATTTATCAAAGGGCCTTTTGTCAGTTGTTAGAAGACCCAGTTCCCTTCACAGAGCTACAATTTCCAGAGTAGCTGGAGAAGAGGGATTGACTGTTTAAACACTCTGAGAATTGTATCTCTGTGGGCAGGGAAATAGGGGTCTCCTAACAATTTCCAGCACCCTTAACAAACTAATCTACCAGAATTCTTTAGGGGAGGGAGCCATGACGCTTTGAAGCGATATCCTAGTGCTTTAAATGTATGATGTGAATGTTGCCTGTTAAATTGGCTTCTGTTATCTTTGGAATTTGGAGGAGTAGCTGTTCCACAAATGGCTGTGATCTACTGGGTATATAAAGGGTAATGTGTTCTCTCAAGTAACCTCATCCTGAATTAAATATATGGTCGTATACGTTAGTACCAACGTCTTGAACTTGGTCCAGCAGCAGATTGAAAGCCAATGCAAATCTAGCTGGTGGTAGTTTGGCCCCATAACCAACCTAGCCACCATATTCTATACCACCTGCAGCCTTTAGACCAACCTGAAATATAGCCCCACATAGGGTGCATTGTAGTAAACCAACCTTGAAGTTAGAAATGCATGAACACCTGTGCTTAAGCTATCCCCATCCAGGAATGGCTGTAGCTGTCTTAGCAATCAAAGGTGGTAAAAGGTGTCCCTGGTTGACTTTTTCACAGCAGCATAAAAACTTGTTCTTTATTCAAGCCTATTCTAAACTACACACACAAACAACATCAATGCTCTCCCTGAAGACTGACTGCAGAAGACTTCCCTTGTACTATTTGTTATTGATGAAAAGGCCCACATGCATAGCTTAGCCTACCTGATGTCAATGTTTCCAGTCCACCTTAAATGTTTAGGGGGGGAATCAATGGGCTTAGAAAATCCAGGAAATTCTACAGCCCATATTTTCTACAAAGTCTATTAGTGACATCTTGTGGCCAGATCAAGATTTTCAGAGGACTTTCTAGCAGTTTGACAGCAGGGGGGCATCTTTAGGACAACTAACTGCCTGTACTGGGGAATGCTGTAAAAACAAAGAACCCAGTTTTCTTTTCTGCTTATAAAAATTGCAAGTCAGCAACCCCACCCCACCCCAGATCCTTGTACATAACTCTAAACTAAACTTTTGCATGTGCAAGCGGGCAGGGGGTGTTGTCTGAGAAGAGGAAGCAGCTTTCTTAATAATGCTGTTCTATATTTCTTGGCTCTCAACATCAAAGTTTAATAAAACCACCGCAAAAGGATAATTTGTGATGTGATTATTGTTCACAGCCTCTGGCTAACTTTTGTTGACACGCTGGAGACCGTGTTGCCGTTGACCTTGTGCTGACCCTCCGTGATAACACCCACTTTGGTTCTTGCAGTGAAGTTCTAACTTTGATATTTAACAGAGCTGAGCAGAGATGAAACCCATTAAAGCCAGAAACATTTTAGGCTTTCTCATCTTCTCGGCTGGAGTAAACAATCCTGTTAAAAGCCCTCCATTTCCCTTTGCTCTCTTACATCCAGCTCCAAGCTCAGAGAGAAACTTACAAGAAGCTTTGTTGCTTTCCACTGACAAACCAGAGAATAGTCTAGTCATTCCAGGTAGGATTTATTTCTGTCCCCCTCAAAAATAAAATAAAAATTAGTGCAAATCAAGAGTTAGCCCAATACCACCCTCCTGGCTCACTTCAACTCCTGGTTTCATTCACAATAAGAGAGGGGGTAAAATCACATTCTGTGCTCCTATCTCCACAAAAGCCTCATCTGCATTCTCTACTGCTCTCTCTGGGTTACTGGAGAGCTTTGGAACTAATCCCCCTTCCCTGATGTCTAGCTAGCTACATACTTTGCAGGATCCCACCATGTAACAATACCCTTAACTAGGGATGGAGAAATCTGTCTCAGTTTCTTGCCACTTCTGCCCCCCGCAATTCATCAGCAATTGAGTGTGAAATTACCCAAATACACACATTTTTCTATGTGATTTTGTCTAATAAACACATTTTTGCAAAGCAATTTTCCCAAACGCAACACATGTATATGTTATTTTTCATGAATGTATGCATTTTTATTCACACTGTATTCACACTTCACCCAATAATTCTATAATAATTACGTGGCTGAAGAGCTGCATTGCAAAATTTGGAGAGGTGCATATTGTTTCAGAATGTGTGAATTGGGTATTCAATGCCTGCCCTATTCCTATTCCTATTCTTAATGCAAGCAGCCTTCCTAGAGAGAAGAATCGCTGTTGCTGCAGTAATGGAGACACTCATATAACACTAGAACTCATAGACATCCAATGAAGCTGAATGTTTAAAAAAGGACAGAAAAAAAGAAAGTACTTCTTCATGAAGAACATGGTTGGACTATAGAACATGCTCCCACAAGTGATGGCCATCAACCTATATTGGCTTTAAAAGAGGATTAGACAAATTCATCGAAGAGAGTGCTGTTGAAGGCTACTAGCCATGATTGCTATACTCTGCCTTCACAGTCGGAGACAGCAATGTATCTGAATAGCCATTGCTATTCAGAAGGGGAGAGTGTTCTTGTGCTTGAATCCTGCTTGCTCATTTCACACAGGCATCTGGTTGGCCACTGTGAGAAGAAGGAGCTACACTAGATGGACCACTGGTCTGATCCAGCAAGCTCTTTTCATGTCCTTCTTACTTTTTAAATGTTATTTACATCATGCTTCCTTCTGTTTTCCTTCATAAAAGCTGTGAATGTTCTATGTTGTTTTGGGTGCTTATTCTCTAAGAATTGAGTTTCAAACATTAATTCGGTCTATTTTCCCCTTCAGATACCTTTTCCCCATGCACCTTTATGTCCACCTCATTTGGACTTCTAATAACACATGAAACTTTGCCTTAAGCTGATTTGCTGCTGAAGCAGATCCAAAGTACTTGTGTTAATTCGCAACAAAGGAACTTAAGGACCGCCTGATGTCTTCTGTACTATCTTGATCACAGAGATCTCTGACATGGCACCTTTGGGTCCTCCATGCCCCTGATATTCAGTGGGCCTTTACCAGGAACTGAGCCTTTGGTGTGGCAGGTCCCGCCCTGCGAAACTCTTGCCAAAAAAAAATAAAAAATGCAGTGGGAGCCACCCCTGCTTTCTTTTAGACATGTTTTGAAAGCTTTGCTGTTCAAGTTCCTTTGGAACGAGAAATTATTATTTTTTTACCAACCAGTTTTGATATGCAATTCATGTTTTTTATTCATGTTGTTATTCTAGTATTGTGTTTCAGTGTTGCCTTTTCATATGAAAGTGGTTTATAAATTTCTCAGCAATCAAACAAACACCAGGTTGCTTTTCTTCCATCTTTCCTTACATGTTCCCGCTTTCTTTTTAGGATGCCCGCCGTTTATTTTTTTTATACATTTCTTTCTATCAATGAGTTTATGAACTTTCTGAATTGTTAGCTGGTACATTTCGTCAACGCGGGCACTATTTTTAACACACACAACTTAATGAGATTTTCTATTTTATCACTCACATTCTTATAAAACCATTGTGCACTTTGCCAAAACTCAGTGCAGCGGAATCCAACAGTGCTGCCCATGCTTATGAAAGCATTTCTGATTGTAAATCTTTAAATGGAAAAAAAAAATCCTGGTGGCAGATTAGAATGCACCCAAAATATAGTTTTTTTTTAAATATAAAAAATACACACATTACAACTCAGTACTTTGTTAGCAAAGATTACGTCCACAAGAACAGGTGAAGAAAGAGGCCGTGTTTGTGTGTTTGTATGTTGGGGGGGTGTCATTTGAGGAGCTTAGAGACCAAATATTTTCCCAGAGCATTATATCTTAAAAATGCTGCCTCATTAGAAGAGCTAATGCATTAGGTGGGATTTACAGAAATTGCCACCACAAGTGCCTGCCATATAATTAAAAGAGGATCAGTTACACAACAGGCTGAAAACCACAGTCAGATTTTAGCATTACTTGGAACTATTTTTAGAAGGCATATAAAAAGAAAGTAGGCCCCAACTATAGAGCATTTCAGTGTTGAAAGAAGTGATTAAAATAGCAGCATAGTAAAGAGTATTCACTTAATCTTGTGAAACAATGGGAATGGCTGTGCGTGGTTTTTGTTTGTTCTTCTAGGATTTGTATTTATATAGATTTGTGTGTTATGCAAAATGGGGCAGGGAAAGCCAGGTCACACTTTGACAATAGACATTTAAATACTTTGGCATGTAAGTGACTGCTGCTGCAACTGCTTCTAAGCCTGCTACCAACTTGAAGTGCCAGGGGGCTTTGATGAGAAATTTGGGTAGTTCTGCTCAGTCAATTATGGATCACACTGAAGGAGTTTCAATGAAATACAGTCATCAGTATAATGGAATATTCATACATCTCTTGAATTACACCTGTTGTGGGCTTTTTTACCCTAAAGGAATTGCCACAAAGAAATGCAAGATGTCTTTTAGCACATATTTTGTAATTCTTCAGCCTTCAACATAGCTCTAAGGCTAGTGTTATGTTGTCACAATGACTTCTCCTTGCACAATGGAATATTCTCCCTCTCTTCCCTCACTTAAATTTATGCTGGGTTTCTCCCTCCCCCACTCCTCTGGAGCAGATTTGGGCACTATGTGAGGTGTGCATGGAGGATGGGAAGAAGAGGGGGGAAGTCTGGCTGCACAAGCCTCAATGCTTGTGTCAGTACAATTATTTAGTTGAATATTAACAATTTCTTTTCACTACTTCAGGATTGCCATGGTGAAAGGGGGGGGGGGATGCCTTTTCACTGCACCAGCTTCCAGGCTCACACAGCAAAGAAGCCCATAATAGGCCCATTGCCACCATGTGATGGCAGCAGGGCAAACACAGGATCTTTCAGATCCTGCGCCAGCCCATCCCTGGAACTACCAGTTTGGGACTTTCTTTCTTTCTTTCTTTTTTAGCGTTTCAGTGCCAATTTATTCTAATAAGACTCATTTTTACAAAGTAATTCTCCCAAATTTAGTGCCTTTTTGTATGTTATTTTCAGTAATATAGGCTTCATATGCACACTCTGCCTTAGTACATGCATTTTTGTACACATTATTTGGATGAGGAACTGCACTGCAAAATTCAGAGATGCGCAAATTTTGAAGGATGGCTGGTTTTAGCTGGCGCATTGTTTGTTTGTTTTTTTAAATAATATTTATTAAGATTTAAAAGGTTACAAAAAGAGAAAATAGAAAACAGCATATTAAGCAAAAACAAAATATCACATCACAATAAAGAAAAAAAAGCTAGAAAAATAAAAACAGTTAGGGAAAAAAAAGGAAATACAATGAACCTTCCCATAACTTATCTTTCATTTGCTTGTTTCGTTGACCTCCTCACACCTCCCTTTTTTGTATTCTAGTTCAGTTAGCTATTTCAGCAAGTCCTTTCCATCTTTTCCAATTTTTGTCCTATATTTTATCTTAATATAATGTAACTTTACTTTCCCTCCTTTCACCATTTAACAATCTGTTTTTTCTTAATCCTTTATAGCATTTCTGCTAAAGCCACCTTACTTCATTCCAACATCCTTCTAACATTCCTTAATTTTACAATGTTTCTGTAAATAAACTTTAAATTTCTTCCAATCTTCTTCCACCGACTCTTCTCCCTGGTCTCGGATTCTGCCAGTCATTTCCGCCAGTTCCATATAGTCCATCACCTTCATCTGCCATTCTTCCCGGGTGGGTAGATCTTGTGTCTTCCAATACTTTGCAATAAGTATTCTTGCTGCTGTTATGGCATACATAAAGAAAGTTCTATCCTTCTTTGGCACCAATTGGCCGACCATGCCCAGGAGAAAGGCCTCTGGTTTCTTCAGGAAGGTATATTTAAATACCTTTTTCATTTCATTATAAATCATCTCCCAGAATGTCTTAATCCTTGGGCACGTCCACCAAAGGTGAAAAAAAGTACCTTCAGTCTCTTTACATTTCCAACATTTATTATCGGGCAAGTGATATATTTTTGCAAGCTTGACGGGTGTCATGTACCACCTGTAAGTCGTTTTCATTGTATTCTCTCTTAAGGCGTTACATGCCGTAAACTTCATACCTGTGGTCCATAACTGTCCAGTTTGGGACTTTCCACTGGCTACTGCCAGGCACACTGGGGGGGGGGTAAGGCTGCTGTCACATGTTGACAGCATCTAGGAGCTACTGTTGATAGCTGAGTGGGCACAGGACCACGTAATCTGGAACAAATTCAGATTAGAAGAATTCAAAAGTTCCCTTATCTACCTACCTATTATTATACACAACAAGAACAGTTGTGCGATTCTGTCCTTACCGTTATTTTATTCTCAGTATTGGGCTCGTGGGCTTTATTTGGAAGATTTCAGCAACCTGGTTAGTTTTTGTAGCACAGACTGATATTTGCACAGAGGCAGATAAAGATTATACCCAGAGAATGAACTATTAGCCTTCAGCAAGGATGTTTCCCAACCTCCAAAACTTCAAGGTCAACATTAGTTTCATGTGAGTTTTTGTTAATAATCTCCATTTCCCATCAGACTAGAAGCAGCTTTTGGGATACCTTCACATAGAAAATTTGGATGAAGGTTTATGGACATCCTGCAATTTCAAAATGAACAGTGAAATAAGATATTGAGGAAACATGCACATCTTCATTTGCGTTCCAAATATTTTACAGTGTAGCAGAATCACCCATGACAGATTTTGCCTCATCAGACCTTGGAAGAAGTACAGTGGAGTTTTATAGGTTTTACAGTTGTTCTTATGCCTCCTTTTCAAGCGTGTAATTAAGCTGATAGAATGCCCAAGAATTTACAAACCAAAACTGTAGACAAAAACCTAATATGCTTGTGCATCACCAGGGACAATTCAGGTAAATAGGACATTTTATCCTTCCCATAAGATTGCATAAGAGCTGCGGCCTCAGAACACCTATAATATTACATTTTGGGTTTTGTTCTGTCTTCTCTAGCTTCTCAACTAATAAGATGAAATACTGGAAAGCCAACATATGGGATAGTATTGAGAAATGCCACAGAAAACTATGGTGTACAGGATCATAATATTTCCCCCTTTGCTAGGTAATTCAATAACCTCTAAACACTGCTCCAGCACGTGTTGTAAACTGACTGGCAAAATATAACATTAAATCACTATACTGTGTGGCTCAATAGTTTCATTAACCCAGTTCTTCTCTGGAAGGTCCCACAACCCCTGTGCTCCCCAAATATAATTAGAAGAATTGGGGTGTGCAGAATGCTGCAGAAGAGAGAAGATGATCCACTGGATATTGCCCCAAGGTAGTAGCACTTCAATGTGGACATCTGGAGCTCTAAAAGGACAGTTCATGAAACATACACAGCTCCATCTATTTGTCATTACCATTTAGGGCAGTAGTTCTCAGAAACCCCCCACCCCAGGAACACTTGTAAAATGTTGATTGTCTTGATGGACTTCTTTATCATTTTTTCTGTCACTGTAGCAATTGTAACATACTGTGCTAGATGCTCTATGATTGTTAATTGTATTTTTATTACTTCTTTTATATTTTATTTGTTATATGGTATTTGATTGCATTACAATTTGCATTTCATGAACCATGAGTACCCCTGATTTAGAGTACAGTATAGATAGTGTTTTTAGGAAGATACTTTTCATTCTCGGCTTCTGTACTCCACTACCCAACAGCATCAGTGCAGAGGATATCTACAACATAGGAAATCTTACATCATTTGTTTTTAACTGGAATAGGCTAGGAACTGAGCTGTGTACCTTGTGTAACTCTATAGTTAGTCTTCCCTCTCTTCCATTACACTACAAAGTATAGAATCTGGTGCAAATCATAGAATTGTAGAGTTGGAGGGACCTTGAGGGTCATCTAGTCATGTGCCAGCACTGGATCAAGGGAATTCATTGGCGTAATTTTGCCACTACTACTCCTGTGCCACATATTTGGGGAAATTCATACATAACTTTAGGTGTGTCATGTAACTAGATTAGGGGAGAGGGCAAATGGAAGTGGAAGAAGCACAAAGGAGGAAGAATATTCATTATGGCAGTCTCATTCTACATTGTGCGGAAGAATGGGAAAGGAGGAATAAAGCAAAAGACAGAAAATATTTACTAAATTGTGCAGATTTGGCATCAGCTCATGGACAGAAAGCACCTCAACAATAACTTGAATAATGCAAAAGGAGTGATGGTGCAGAGAAGCCTGTGGTTCTGATAACCATGTTACTTTAGTAAAGAGTAAAATACTACTCAAAGCTCATTCTAATCCTTTTTAAAACAAACACTGGAAAAAGATGAAAGAACTGTTGTATCTGTAAAAGTTTTGAGCAAACAATGCAGTCCTAGAGATAATGATACTCTAAAAAGTAGGGGTGGGGATACAAGTTTATGCAGTGGGAATAATATAAACAAAGTAGGTTTAAGTGTTTACAATAGATTTTCGGGGGGGGGGTAATAGTCCTTCAGCTGCCATGACATGAAAATGATTTTAATCATCCTAATGGAGCAGGTGAATAGGGAAAGAAATCCATAATTGTGCTTTTTTGAAGGCAAATTAATTGGCTTTTGCTTCCATTAAAACAGCCTCTATTCAACCACTCCTATAAAAGAAGGGAAAGGTATCCCTATTTTGAACATTTGGTTGTTCAAAAGTGACATTCTCCAGCAAGAGTCAACGTGTTATGATAAGAGTATTTACATGTGATATGTTTTCTTTTTTACAAAATTCAGATGACGAATTGCAGTATAGGGTACAATAACAGCCTTGCTTTTCAATCATTCTTCCAACAAAGGAAGAAAATATGAGGCCTTATCTACATATTCAGCAAGATCATGTGGTAAATGCCATAGGAGACTGTTCAACTTCAGAGGAAGAATGCAGAGGGTGATCAGTTTGTAATTAATTCACCGTGCACCTGATTATAGCAAATTACCAGTCAAGTGACCTTGCAAAGCTTTGGAAAGTCGTTTCCAAATCACATAACCATTCTGTTGTGAGATGTACCAGAAGACAATTAATCTGTTGTAAAGTGGTTTGAAAACACAACAAATAGCACATTTCTGTTACAAGTCCTAGTACTACACAAAGATAAGCATGCAAGAATCAAAACGTACAAGTTCACATACCTTGTGCAGAACTTCACCTTCCATTGCATATGAAAAGACAAGTATGGAATGAAGCACTAATGTGCCGATATTTGCAAGCCACCTCCCCTAATATCATGCATTTTTTTTAACACTTTCCCCTAAAATATGCTTGGTTTGAGAACTCCGTCGCAAAAATCAGATAAATGTAAATTCTGAAGGATGGCTGTGTTTCCATATTATTTTGGAAAGTGCATACTCAATAGGTTCAGCTTTAACTGTAGACTGAATCAGATTTCTCCCCCACCTCTACTTGGAAGTAAGTGTCCTGTGGTATTTTCCCCCATGTACGTATATTGCATCCTAAAGCCTCTCCTCCTCCCAGAGGGGAGGTATTGTGAGTGGGAGCCATTCCCGCAGCGGCAGGGGGGCGTGTTCAGCCCCCTGCGTCATCTCCTGGCTGCCGCGCTGCCCCTCAATGGGCCAGCCAATAGGGTTGGCCCGGAGGCGGGGTTTAGCCGCATTCAAGCAGCCGCAGAAGCCTCTGCGCCTCATTCTGCTCCCGGAAGACGTCGGATCAATCGGGTGGTTGCCCGCAAATTGCGTTTCATTAATGGCCATGTGATAAAGCATGCTGACATAAGGTTTAGCGAGGCATTCCTGTTCAGAGAAGATGGTGTTCACTTATCCGTTCACGGAAATGATGTGTGGTTGGCCAACATCGTCAGCTGCATTAGAAATTGGTTGCAGCTGTGAGGGTATTTGGCGGGGAGCCTCTTGGGCTCGGGTGGAGGTTAGGCACTGGAATATGTGTTGTGTGTTGGAGGGCACAGTATGGCCATCACCTACCCCCCCCCCATTTGGGGTATTCCGTGAAAGGAGGTCGTGGATCCTGTCCAACACCCTGCTGGTGGCTAGGACCATAGCACAACCCCCAGTGACACCAGGGGAAGCTTCCAGTTGTATTTGCATCAACAAGCTCCTCCCACTGGTTGTTAACCTTCAAATGACCCCTGCTGCGTGGGTGGGATCATATATAGGTTGTTTCATCCAATGCCTAAGCCAGTACCGCTCACATGCTGTAACCAATAAAAGTTGTGGCCTTTTTCAGCCCATTAACCTAAAATACTTGTGTCCTTGTCTCTTATTCACTACTACGTGTGTTAGGGTTCTCAACTCACAAATACATTCCTAAGGATTGGTGGTTGTTAGGGTTTCTGGGTAGCAAACTTTGCTAGAGGAACTTTTTTGAAAATGGGAAGTGGGGTTGGAGGAATCCTCCAACTTTGCTGCTTTATTTGTTTTTCTATCTGCTGGCAAGTGGGCCAGGCAGCTACTTAGGATGGGCCACAGTTGAATGTGAGGGTGACAGGAGGTTATGGAAACCTTTTCCTGTTTCTGCTATGTGTCATACAGCAGGGTTTGTATCAAAGCTGTTGAGGGGGAGCCCAATCCAGAGGCATCCTCATTATCTCTTTTTCTGATTGTTTCCAAGTTTTTTTGAACAGAAGGCAGTGCAGAGACATCTTCATTATTATCACTTTTTTTTCCAGGATTGTTCATGAGTTCACATTTTTCCAGACTGTTTCAAAGGTTCTTTTTGTGGAGGCACCCATTTTAGATGGGGAGAGCACAGTGCAAAGGCAGAAACATTATTATTATCATCATCTCCTCATACACCCCTAATTTTGACATAGTCACATTTATTTAGCTGAACCAATAAATCCCTCCAAAGAGACTCTCTTGTATCTTATACAAGAGAGTGGTGAGTGGGTGTTACTTTTGCAGTACCACTTAATATAAATATGCCTAGAAAGAGCCAATATCAAAAATGTTAGGGAATCCAAGTTATTGCACCAAAAATCGCAGAGAGTATTGTGCTCCACCAATGCTGTCAAGACTAGCATGTGGCTCAGGATCTCTTATCTTTCCTCCCAGGTTGTCTTTTTAAATTGTGAGCAAATGATTGGCCCTTAAATTTCAGGCTGTTTTTATAACTGTATTTTTGGGCCAGTTTTTTAATTATTATTATTGGCTGATAGTGACAGGCAACCATAAAGCTGAAGATAGATAGCAGTTTTTATAGATGGACTGCACCAAACGTAATCTTCAAGTATGGGTGAAATCTGAAACAATCACTTATGTTATGGACTGGGCTGAAATCTAAAGGAATCCTTTAAGTTTTAAAGGACTTAAGCACTGCCAAGAGAAGCAAAACATCTGGCTGTGTATTTAAGCACTAGATGCACTATAGGAAAGTATACACTTCCTCGCTTTTCAGCTGCATCTCATAGCATGTCATCTTTACAAAAGCAAAATGGAAGGTAAGAATATGGCACAATGTTTAGTACTAAGAACAGGGAATGCTTTCTAAGTTCACAGTGTCCTGGAGTCTTAATCAACACATGTTGAAACAATTGCAAACATTCTTCCCAGATAAGTTTCCCAGAGGGATGGAAGATTCATCCAAAGAAGTAGAAATGATTCAATTGACAGTAAAATTTGGATTTTGATCTGCAGGATCTTCACTCCCCATCCCCTGCTCTTGCCATTTGACACAGCAGCCTTTAAAAAAAGCCTTTATAAAAAAAGTAGGGTATTGATTTGGAAGTTCCTTCAAACAAGCTAGAAAATGCTTTACGCAGATATAGTCGAACCAGGAGCTGCAGGAGTATAATACAGTAACTCAACAATATCTGTGCTTATGCCGGCATTCGTTAACTTGATTCTTTGGTGCAAGAGCAAAATACAATATTCTAAATAAGCATATGCAGTGGTACCTTGGGTTACATACACTTCAGGTTATAGACTCCACTAACCCAGAAATATTGCTTCAGGTTAAGAACTTTGCTTCAGGATGAGAACAGAAATTGTGCTCCGGCGGCGTGGCAGCAGCAGGAGGCCCCATTAGCTAAAGTGGTGCTTCAGGTTAAGAACAGTTTCAGGTTAAGTACAGACCTCCGGAATGAATTAAGTACTTAACCCGAGGTACCACTGTATCATGCATTTGATTTTGAGAATTTCTTTTTATAATTGATATTTATTGAATTTTCAAAAAATAACAACAAAAATTTCCAAAAAAAAAAAAATTAAGGATACAAAAAACAAAAATAGTACATAAACAAAAAAGAAAAGAAAACCCAGCCGCAAAGAAAAAAAAAAAGAGAAACAGAAAAACAAAAATATAAAGTCCTTTACAATCTCTATTGACTTCCTTTCTAGACTTCCTCCTCCTCCCCTCTTTTGTTTCTTAATTTTTAATTTTTACAGCAAATCCTTTCTGTTTTTTCATAACAATCTGTCATTACGTTTCCTTATTCTATTTTCCCTCTTGTCATATAAAAACTTTAAAACTCATAGCTTATATTCAATATTTACCAAATTCTTGCATCATTACCTTTTTACGAATCATTTACCAATCCTTACTTAAGCCATGTAATTTCATTCAACATCCTTCAAACATTTGTAAGCATTCCCAATATTAAAAAATAAAAAAGAAAAATAATAAGTCAAATTCAGTCCAGTCAGCTTCCAACCTCCCCTCCCCTGGACCCGGGATTGTCAGTCCTTTTAACCTCGATAATCCGGCTCCTTAACCTGGTTGTCTCGTATCCGAGGCCCTCAAGTCTCTTTCTTGCCCCTTTCGCCACTCTTGTTGATGATTCCTTTCCAGTCGTGGATGCTCCAGCAAGAAAATGCTTTTGACCCTTTGCAGCAAGTCCATCCCAAACCCATTGCCCAAGCCAGACAGCAAATAATACCACTTCAAATTTCCACAAAGCTTGGAGACTTCGGCTACTCCAATCCTCTGATAGCCCATCACCAGACTCGGAAGGTCCAAATAACCATATGGAGGGGGTCGAACCATCCCACCATTTCCAAATCTGACCACATTTCATCTTTCCGAATCTGGTTTGTCCCAAGTTCATTTATCAAGTTCAAAGGCTGATCTTGCCCGTCCAAAGGTCCCTCCATCTCTGAAGCCTCCGTCACTACAGCAGGTTCATATGCTTGTATAGCCTTTAACTGAATTTCATTTGTTTGCTGCTGTGCTCTGGTAACTTCCATCATCAAGGTCGTCTCCTGACGCATCTGGTCCAGCTGGGCACTTAGTTTTGAAAAACCTTCCAGGAACAATTGTTCAAGCCTTTGTACTAGCATTGTCCTTCAAGGTCAAAGAAAATTCTTTCCCACGAGAATAGTCCAATAGTCCTTCTCTTTTAATCTCTCTGCGTTGAAATTTCACTAAATTCCACTAGATGGAATTTTTTTTTTTTTTTAAAGGAATAAAAGCAACAGCAACAATCTTTCTTTTTCCAGAAACACTTTATCCAAAATTCCCCCTTCCAAATTCAAGAGGCAACAGTAGAATCAAAATGTTACCCTTCTTTTAACTAACTGTCGAGCTGGATAAACTTCAGAACGTCAATTCTGACAGCCCGCTCCTGGTTCAGGGCGGTGGAAAATTGCTTTATTTTAAACTCACTTCCGCAGGATTGAAAAGTCCAAATACAACCCCCTTCTTCTCCTGCAGTCAAAGGGGGTTCAGAAATCTTAGATGTTGAATTCTAGTTCTCTTAGAATTTAATTTTCAAGCTTTAGTATATTTTGTCTTTGCTTTCTTCACATAACAAAAGAACGGAAGGCGACTTCCTGTTTAGACCTTCCCATTCCGAGTCCCAATTAAGTTCAATTTCAAGTCCAATATTATTTGTTTATTCACCAGTCTTAAAAGTGGTTCAACTCTTCCAAGATCAGGTACTCACGGATAGATATTTTAGATGCCAAATTGTCCAGGAAAAGGCAGCGCTCTCCGATAACGGCAGTGCGGCTTTGCTGCACGGAGGAAGCAGACGACTCACAGCACCACGCACCTCCCACTCCGGAGCCCGTTACCGGGCTCCTGTACAAGGGGAGAGAGCGCTCTCGGTGCCCGCCGAGTCCCACGTCCACAGGCTTCTTCCGCCTGTGGTTTTGCGGGTCCCCGCTGCGCCGTAGCGGCAGGACCCAAGCCTCCGTGCAGCGGGTTCCCTTCAGTCCGAAGGGAATTCCGCCATTTTCCGGAGGCGCCACCCCGGAAGTCTGATTTTGAGAATTTCTATCTGATGAGTCCAAAAGGGATGAATAATAAACTATAACTATGCACCATGGCCATTATATCACATTCAGTGCCCAAACAAAGTTTGAGGAAAATACAAAAGGTGTCCCTCCTAATATTCATTTATATATAACCAGGAGGAGAATATCTAAAGAAATAAAGGAAAGCTCACAGGTCACTCAGATAATGTGCTTCTCTTTTTCATCCTGAATGCCTGCATACTGTGAGTTTACCTGGGAAAACAGAAACTTTCGGAAGTGTGTAATCCTTCATCTCATCTGATGAACAAGACCTTGATCCATGGATGTTTGTGCCACTCTAAGGCTGGGAGAAAAATTTGGCTGATGCTTGTAGAGCAGACATCCCCAACCTGTGGCCCTCCAGATGTTTTGGCCTACAACTCCCATGATCCCTAGCTAACAGGACCAGTGGTCAGGGATTATGGGACTTGTAGTCCAACACTTCTGGAGGGCTGAAGGTTGGGGATGCCTGTTGCAGAGGCTCTGTTCTGGACCCCAAGCTGTGACTTGAAACCTCCATAGAAACCTAAAGGGCAGGCAAGATCTGTTGGAGTGTTAATGCTTTGAACCATTCCATGCTATGCTCACGTTGTATATATGCACAAATAAAATCATATATATTTTAAAGACACTACTGACCTTCATTCCAAGAAAACTGAAGCCTGGGTAAGTGCTAGAACCTCTCACAGCTCAGAGATTGGGATGTACGCAGCAGTATATAGGGTGGAAAATAAAAGTCATGAAGCATCTGGTACTGCACAGCATCTGAAATGTTTTCTGGATACAGCAAGGGTTTCTTGAAACAGCCACAGAGGTTTGTGTTAAAAGCAAAACACATGTTTTTATATATTTTATTAATAATATGTTTATCAAAACAAAATCTAAGTATACCTTAACTAGATAATTGGAAAGTTATTTCTGCTTGGCTACACTATCATGGAATCACATATGTGCTGACACCTCATTATTCAGCACACATCTGAACTAGATTCAGATGAGAGATTAGCAATAAGGGTGTTGTTGTTCTTTCTTTTTTAAAAAATTAATATTTACTTATGGTTAATCACACACAGGTTTGCTCTAATAACAAGACACTAGTCTAAGTGAATGTTTGGATTGCTGTAAAAATTGAAGCTGGCAAGTGCAAGCATTTTGCTAACGTAACAGCGATGTAAGGATTTTCATTTTTTTAAAAAAGTCTAAGTTAAGCCTCACGTATACCATGGTCGCACGCTTGCACTGAATTGCTGCCTCTTGTTGCAGATAAAACGCATGCTTATTGGAGAGTTTCTTCAAACCAACTGTGTTTGTAATCCAAGTACTCAAGTGCTAATGGATTTTAATCTTGTACATTAGATCTTGGACAGTAAAGCTAAGATTTAGCTGTGCCAAGGTTTAGCTTCAAGTCTTAGCCTTCCTACTGAGGATGGATGGATGGCCCAGATGCAGATGTTGAGAGAGGCAATGATGCAACACATCCCCAGTCTTTGGCTTGTTTGTTTGGTGTAGAAGCTTGATAACTTGGATGGGCTACCTATTCCTTTGCCTTGGAGAAAACTCCTCAAGTATTGGCTGGTATTGCTTCATTTATAAAAGCAAGCTCCTTCCGAGGTTTCCCTCCACCACCAAGATTTTCAGAAGCAAAAGTCTGGTGGGACCTGACTTCTTGGTACTTTCCCTCGCTCAAATTTGTATATGGCTCAGCCAATGTCTCTCCTATCCTGGCGACATTAAAAGAGGTTTCGGGCGATGGGGGCTACAGCTGGAGATTTGACATTTCGCTGTTGCAGGTAGCAGCAGCCAGAGACCCTCAGTGAAGGAGCTGAGCTATTCATCTCTGCCTTCTCCACAGCTGGCTGCTGGAATTACTCCTCCTTTTGAGGAAGCCGACCGTTTGACACCTTTGGCCAGCAGCGAGAAGCAGAGAGAGCTGGAGATGGACAGACAGGATAATCTTGCTGAGGTGAAAGCATAGGCAGTGAATCCAAAAATACTTGCCTCTGACCGCCCTCCCTGTTGCTAACCTCTGATTCTCTCTCCCTTGGCAGCAGCCCTCACAACCCAAGGGGCTCTTCCCTGAGATTCCCTGCCCCATTCCGCTTTCCCCCAGGGCTCATCCTCCTTTTTGCTCTGCCAGCCTCTGACACTTTCAAGTTGCTGGACAATTAGGGCATCACTTGCGGTACAACACATCTAATATAAACCTTAAAGCAGCATTGATGGTACACTAATTTTTGGATATGGCATTCCTCCCACGGCAGCCATTTTGTGACTGGCACTCCCAGCACTCTCTCAAAATTTAGAATGTTTCCCACTGGTCCCAAAGTTCCTGCTTTAGTGTAACCACCTCCGGGGATTACTAAGCCATATATCTGAGCTCCTACCATTAAAACAAAAACAAAAATAGCCTTGATTTTCCTCATTTGGCTTTTCTACCTTTCCTATGGCTCTGCCATCCATTTCCTGTAAGCCATTTGCTGGTTTAAACAAACTTTCATTTTGCCCTACAATGTGTGTGAGAGAAGATGAGCAATGAGGCCAGGCTGGGGCAGGCTGAGAGGAAATCTCAAAACTCTGGCTTTGTGCACATGTGGAGAGCCAGCGTGGTGTAGTGGTTAAGAGCGGTAGTCTCGTAATCTGGGGAACCGGGTTCGTGTCTCCGCTCCTTCACATGCAGCTGCTAGGTGACCTTGAGCCAGTCACACTTCTTTGAAGTCTCTCAGCCCCACTCACCTCACAGAGTGTTTGTTGTGGGGGAGGGAGGGAAAAGAGAATGTTAGCCGCTTTGAGACTCCTTCGGGTAGTGATAAAGCAGGATGTCAAATCCAAACTCATCTTCTTCTTCACATTTCATCCCTTCATGTACATAGGATACCTTGTAATTTAACTACCTGCTTCATGCAGAATTATAGCATCCCCAACCTGTTGTGCCTCTGCTTGAAGGCCTGTAATGAAAGAGCGCTCATCCTCCTCCTGGGTAATTGGATCCATTGTCAAACTATTCTCACCCTCAAGAAGTGTCACACAATGTTGAACTGAAATCTACCCTTTTGTATTTTAAGCTCTTTAGATCAAGTCCCTCCTTTGAATCCTGGCCAATATTTCGTATGGCAGAGATCTAGTTTTTGAGAGAGAAATTCCAAAAGGAGGATATATTTAAGGAGTGCTTTTGATTCCAACTTGCCAAATTGAATTATAATTTATTTATGTAACTATGGTTTGCATGATGTAGATAGTGTTTTGTTAAAACAAGCCAAGCTACTAAATTTAGATTGACCTTAATTTCCCTTTAAATAGAACTCCTGAGAAATCACAAATAATGGCTATGTGTGGCAAATATTTAGCTAAGAATTTCAAACACCAAGGCCACAAGTCTGTCCTGAAACTAGTAAACATTGCTCTTAGAGAAATAATAATAATAATAATAATAATAATAATAATAATAATATACAGAAAAGCTGTTCTCTCATGGGCATCCAGTGAAGCTCAGGACAGATAAAAGAAAGCACTTATTTACAAAACTCACTCCCACAGAAGGCAGTGAAGGTCAACAACTGGGATGGCTTTAAAAGAAGATCACTGAAATTCATGGAGGACAAGAATGTGTACGGCTACTTGCCATGATGACTGTGTTCTAACTCCATTGTCAGAGCCAGTATGCCTCTGAATACCAGTTACTAGGAATCACAGATGGGCAGAGTACTGTTGCACCCATATCCTACTTGTGGGCTTTCCATAAGCATTCAGTTGGTTCCTGTGAGAACAGGATGCTGGCCTAGATGGGCCACCGCCCTAATCCAGCAGGTTTTTCTTATGCAGACATCATACACAAACTGCAACCAAGCACACATCACCACCTTCTCTACTGGGTATAATAGAACATTTCTTTCAAGCCTAATTTCATCAGGGATAATAGAAGCAAAATTCTACATCAGAAATGGGGGGCCTGTGGCTCTTCAGATCTGGTAGGATTCAAACTCCCATAGTAAGCATGACCAATGATAAGGGATATAATCATTGTAGTATTTTTCCCCCATTCTGACAGAAGTGGGTAAAATTTGCAGGCATACTAGCCCTTCCAGAATAATAAAGTCTGCCAAATTACAGACTTTTGTGCTGTGCTGCTTTGAAATGTGATCTTTTAGAAAGAAAAGAAAATATCTATAACATCTTTTCATAGGCAGAATTGAATGAAATTTGTTGGCAATGTTGCTCCTTCTGAGGGCATGAATTCTGGTAAATTTCAGAAGGGTGGCTGGAATAGTTTTTGTGATTTTTTGGGCTTTGGAAGTCCAGGATAGCTATTACAGTTTGGGAGTAGATTACAAGGGACTGCTAAATTTCATGATCAATTGATCTGAAAACTACATATATAAGAGAAATAGATAAGAAAATAGCCAGACTTTAGACAAATAGGCAGAAAGACTTTCTTGCTAGGTGCCTTTAAAATGTTTTGGAGGGAGAACTCAAAAGATTTGACTTCTAGATAAAATCATTCCCTCTGATTATGAGATTCACAACAGAGCTCTCCCTCCACCTCATGCTTGCTTTTGCTCTCCCTTCACCCCATCTCCCCACCCTGGCATTATTTCTCATATGGGAAGCCTAGAAACTTTACATCTACAGGATTTTTAAAATTTCTGCATTGGGAAGGCACCATGAAGCATTTCAGGGGTATTCACTTCATCTTGCACCACCACATACAGATCCCAGCTGGATCTACAAGATCTACGAGAGCCAGTGTGGTGTAGTGGTTAAGAGCGGTAGTCTCGTAATCTGGGGAACCGGGTTCGCGTCTCCGCTCCTCCACATGCAGCTGCTGGGTGACCTTGGGCCAGTCACACTTCTTTGAAGTCTCTCAGCTCCACTCACCTCACAGAGTGTTTGTTGTGGGGGAGGAAGGGAAAGGAGAATGTTAGCCGCTTTGAGACTCCTTAAAGGGAGTGAAAGGCGGGATATCAAATCCAAACTCTTCTTCTTCTTCTTCTTCTACACACATATTAAAGGTAAAGGGACCCCTGACAATTAAGTCCAGTCGCAAACGACTCTGAGGTTGCGGCGCTCATCTCGCTTTACAGGCTGAGGGAGCTAGAGTTTGTCCGCTTCCGCAGACAGTTTTTCCGGGTCATGTGGCCAGCATGACACACATATTAAAAATGCTATAAAAATACTATGGGGGGTGCTCCCAAGGCAATCTGCAATTGACTTTGGATTCTGCTGTACAACGCCATCTGTTGTCACATTTTTATAACACATTTTTTGCATTATAAATTGACCTGTGTAGCTGAGCCCCAGTTCCACTTCTAATAAGTCCCTAATCCCTCCAAATCATTCCAATTCTGATGCACACACCTCCTGGGAACCTCCTGCTTCCACAAGTTTACATCTTGTGAAATACAAAGAAGCTACATCTCTTTGTATTGAGAAACCAGGACTGTGGATATAGCTCCAGGGCTGAACAGATGCTCAGCTTTGATTTTGTGGGTAGTAGGACTAACTCTGCTCCCTAGATAAAGAAGGAAAGCAGGCGTCTCATCCTTACAAACAGGTTATCAAAACTGTCAAAGCTGACATTACCAAGCATCTGCTGGGAGGCTAAATGCTCAAAGAAGTAAATATACAGGCTCATCCCACTGCTACCCATCCTTATCTTTGGACTGTAGCCAGTATTTGCAAACAAACTGCTGCAAACTAAACATATTGCTTTCCATCACTGCTGTTATTATTTCTGGTTCCAAAATCTGTACCATACTTTACAGTCTGAAGCTGCTGCTCTTCATCCAAGATTACATTACTTAAAACCACATTATGTACTCTTAATTAACCAATGTTTAGAAAGATAGATTATGAAAAAATAACACAATGCTAAAACTATATCAATAAATAGAGTCATAAAATGAGTCTAGTAAACTCATTTTTTTCTTTCATAAAATGCCCAATAAATGATTTCAAATACGTCATCTCATTTGCAACTAGGATAATAAAAGAAATACTTTTGATTAAATAGCAAGATTCAAACCTTTGAAATTTAAGGCATTTGATTTTAAGACAGTATCTGACATAACCACAAAACTAAAGATGAGGGTCACACTTTTCAATTAGATGCCAATGGTTTTTTGTTGGAGCAAAGATCTCCATTAGCTTCATGAAATATTTGGACAAATTTATAAAGGATATCCTTTCATTTATATTCTGATGCCTCAGTTGTGGGTTAGTGGTTTAGGATGGGTTTCCCCCTTTTCCTCTGAGGTATCTTCTAGAGACAGGATGTCGGGTAGCATGGAACTGTGGTCAATAACATTTTCTCATGGATGAGTTCTGCTTACACTCAGCCTCTCTAACTGATCACACTATCATGGGTTGGGGGGGAAATTCCCCACCCTCAAGGCAAATTTGTTAGAGCACTTGGGTCAGGGAGTGCTTTCCTGCAGCATGTGGATTGGCTCTTTGAGACAACAGACATGCTCTGTAGCTACCTTTATATGATGCATCTGCTTGCCAGGGGTATATATACACCATAAACTGATATAATAAAAAACAAATTTAATTAAAATGGGAGAGGAGAGGAGATCTATCCAACAAAGAATTCTAAGCACCCTTACTGAGCTGCACTTCCAAAGATGCTTTGGAAGAAATCAGGGCAGTTCAACTAATATAAAACTGATATGCATTTGTAGTGTACATATGCTTAAGATCCTCTTTGGACTCATGGTAAGAGCATGGGCCAATTGTGTAGGGCCTACTCATAGTTAAATAATGAGTGTAGTTCCAGGGGTCATGTTCCATTGCCCATGTTTTTCTTTTATTAGAGTTAAGGAGGTTGGATCTTTTGTGTTTGTGTGTCTTGTATATTTGGATCTCTATTGTGAATTTGCTATTATTCTGCTGTTTGCATTTATTGCTTGACCAATCATATTTGTATTTTAAGTGGTATTGGTATACTTATAGTTACTAGTGCTTTGATATACAATGCTA